ATATACTTACCATAATCAGAGTTTGAAATGATAATTTAAATATCATGAAATGTTATGTGACACTACGCTGCAATTAACTTTATTTTGAAAAACGAACACCGGAGTCATCACCTGCCTGTCTGGCTGTACTGCGGCGCACTCAAGAGTGGATGGGAGGCAAAGAGACGTCAGTCCGAAGTAGAGGGAGAGAATAGGAGTGAGAGATAGGTTGCCTACCTAAGCAAGGTTAAGTTTGATGCATTTTTTGTTCAAGTCTGTGAAAACGACCCTAATGTGTTCTGTTCTGTTTCTTCCTCTCACTTTCGTCACGCTGTCATCATCTGAGCAAACAGCGTTGAACTTTTCCGTGCTCTCATAGCTCCTTAGCTTTGTTTTAAATGAGGCCGGCATGCCCTTCAGGATCATTGCAGTTAACAAGCCATCACTTAAAGTTTCTCCTGCATTCCTCAGTGCTGTGTAGAGCTTAGATTGGGCCCAAAAAATCCAACCCGACCCCACCTGAGCCTGTGCATGTTCTGTCCGAGCCCTGCCCGGCCTGTCCCTTTAACTGTAATTATGAGACCGAGCCTGGTTTAAACCCAACATTTTTTTAAGGATACGAACGTGGAAATTGAAGGCTGACTCTCGTCTTTCTTTCCATGGCAAGCCTTCGTCATGTGTCTCTTAAGTGTCGAGGTCCCCGTCTTTTTGCTGTCCTATACCAGCACTGTGCTGCATTTGGTACACTCGACGAAGCCGACACACACGTTGTCAACAACTCACATGTGCGCGCCAGTGGCGCCGTCAAGGGGGGGCCATTTAATAATGTGCGACACCTGCTACCTGTTTACCACGCCCCCTCTCCAGACAACGGGGGGTACGTCCCAAGTCTCTTAATTTTATACTGCTAACTCCTAACTCCTTACTTGAACTGGAAGTCGTTCGAGGTCCGCCATCTTTAAGGCCGTCTCATGTCTCTTATTCCTGCCAGTAAGGAGCGTTAGGAGTTAGGAGAGATCTGTTAGGTGCGATGAGTTCGGTAACACGAGAGGTTCGTAACAGGAAGTATTTTTCATCTTGAGGCCCTGACGTATAAATACCTGCCCCCTACATCTTGCTCATTTGAACGAGATGGCGGAGAAACAGCGCAAGTGTACCCATTGCATGCATTCTTTGCAGTGAAACACTGTAATTCACATGCCTACGTGACTACAAAGAGTAACGTTAATGATATTTTGTGCAAGACTGTCATGTTGTAATTAAGTTTATTTCATTCACAATCCGTTGTGTTGTTCAGCGGACTGTCTGTGATGTGTGGCTGTTAAATGTGCAGCTGCTCATGTCCAGAACCATACGTGTTGATATAACACCACGCACACACACACACACACACAAACACAAACACACAAACACATTTGTCCATCATTAATTGTCCTGCATGTCATGTGAGTGGAATAATGTTTAATAGCTTGTAGGTAATATCAATTATTAATATTAATATTAATATTAATTAATATTATTACTTTCATTAATGTTGTTGTAAGCTACTGTCATTACCATCTGTCCTGCATCTCTCTCTGTCTCTGTCTCTCTCTCTCTCTGTCTCATTGTGTCATACGGATTACTGTTAATTTATTATGCTGATCTGTTCTGTATGACATCTATTGCACGTCTGTCCGTCCTGGAAGAGGGATCCCTCCTCAGTTGCTCTTCCTGAGGTTTCTACTGGTTTTTTCCCCGTTAAAGAGTTTTTTCTGGGGAGTTTTTCCTTATCCGCTGTGAGGGTCCTAAGGACAGAGGGATGTCGTATGCTGTAAAGCCCTGTGAGGCAAATTGTGATTTGTGATATTGGGCTTTATAAATAAAATTGAAGTGATTGAGGTTGACTGACATGTCTGATATGTCTTATTCACTCAGCAGCTGACTTGTTGAATGATGGCGAGTGGATTTAATAATAGTGATAATAATGATGATGATGATAATAATGATAATGATGCTCATCACGGTGACAGTGGCAGGGCTACAGACTGTTCTTTAATTGTGACAAACTTCGGCAAATGACTCAGTAACAATGGTAATACATGCAAAAGTGTGTGACCAAAGTCATGATGGGGGTTACGGCTTTGATCAGCGAATATAATGTGACTTGGGTTGTACGCCAAACGCTGGCTCCGTTATGCAGCAGATCCAGCTGTGCCGCCGTCATCAGAAAAGGACATCGCTTTACGTGACGCTTCAGAGCAAGGCCGTCTCATGTCTCTTAATCAGCAATCCTCGCTCCTCACTCCTAACTCCTGACTCCTTCCATGTTTTCCTAAGTGGAGGGACTAAACAGTAAGGTAAGGTGGTTAGCAGTAATTTTAAGGGACTTGGGACGTACTCCTGTGTAACCCAGGTCTCTAGTGGGTAAATAAAACTAAAATATGTGAAATTATGTGAAACTGTGTGAATGAATGTCACGTGAGTTAAGTAGCCAATCAGAGCCGCAACAGAGTAGCCTCAGCGCTACTAACAGGAAGTGGGTACGCTGCTTAGTCAGATGACTGGGGACGCTGAGAGCGGAGCAGCTGCAGGTCAGTGGTGAAATGTTTGTTACCCGCATGTTTCAACATTTAAACCGGTTAACATGAGGTGTAATGGTTGAACTTTATGGCTTGTAGATGGCTACCCTGTGTGAAACCCTGATGAGGAACTCTGGTTGCATGAAGGCTCTTGACAAGTGAATTGGTGAGTTAACGTGTTATTGTTAGCAACATACATGTTAGCGACATGCATGTTGGTAACTCATGTCACATGTTAACACGTCAGATATTTAACATTCATCACCAGCAGTCATTTACACACTGTCTTATAAGTTAAACAAACGTACTGCTGTTGTGTAGCATGTGTGTCACTAGTGTGTAGTTTGTTGTTTGTTCATTTGCTGGTTAGCCACCAGCTGACAAGCTAATGCGGTGCTGCGCCTGGCTTGGGTTAATTCACGGTATGGAAGTTTAACCTGGTCCAATGTATGGAAGTTTAACTGTGTCACTTTTGTATGCAGATGGTTACATTTAAAAGGACATTATGAATGTAATGAAACAGATACTGTATACTATATATATCTATACTTGTACATGTATTTGTTTTGTTTTGTTTTATTTATTTTGTGGGATTTAAATGAAAGCACATGAAGCTAAATGAAGGCCTTTTGCTTAATAAAGGCCAGGCTTTTTGACTATGGAGAAACTTGAGCATGAAGAACGCATGATGGCGAGATAATTCGAACCTAAACTGGACCAAGAACAACTTCGATCTACTGCAACCAGCATCTCACCTGCCAAAGCAGTAGGCCACACTGCAGGCCAGCCCCATTCATCTTTTTTTCCCCCCCACACACACACACACACACACACACACACACACACACACACACACACACTCAGGTATCCCCTGGATCAGCACATTAACCCCTCCTTGACTGACTAATTGACTTTTGGACTAATTGACTTTTTCCCCCCGTTTGGACTGTGTTGGACACGGGAAACTCGTGGCATGTGAAGAGGTCCACGATTTCAAACAGTTTTGAGTTGGGGTATTTTGGTTGTTTATGTTGAAATTGCATTGTGATGTTTTCTTTTCTTTTGGTTTAACTATCAGTTGAATTAGTGGAAAGAACACAGCATTTATTTGCTTGGATCCAAAGAACTTATTGCTCGGTGCACCAGATCTTAAATGACGTTAAGCTAGCTTTGAAGCGACAACTTTTTGATTTTTTACAATTTTCTATTGAATCTAATTTTGTATGGCCACTCTTTTTTTTAATTTGTTTGTTATTTATTTATTCATTTTTTCACTTCAATACATGGTACCTATTAAGCACATTTCAGTCTCCGAGTCTTCCTTTGATATTGCCATCATTATAATTTCTCCTCCTTAACCGAATCTGCGGTCTTCTGGTTCCACTAGTCCACACACATATTGTTGCTAGTTTACAATAAATTCTACACATCCAGCGTAAACATATGCTACACCTGGTCAGTGTAAGAGCACATTCAAGATCAGCAGTATTCAACACGCTTTTAATTGTTTTTATGTGTAGGCGAGGACAGACCTGAGGAAGAGGAAGCATCAATGGGCCACCTCATACAACAGAGCCTTAGAGCTCTTTTTCAAAAAATCAAGAAAAATAAAGTGCTCTCAGCCAGGCTGCAAACTCTGCCATTAGATTAGGCTACAGTTGTGTATATAGTTGTGCTACAGTTGTGTAGTGAATAAATAGTGTATTTATAAAAACATTCAGTTTCCGTTATCGCCGGAGCCCTCCCCCACAGTTTCAAAAAATCCTGGAGGAAACCTTAGAATCTTGCTTAAGCTTCCTAGGACGAGTGCCAGTCAGTTGTTTGTATGCAGTGGTGTTCCAACCTTAGGTGCTCTACTTAGAATTGATATGTACAAGTTTATGGAGCAACTGATGGTCTCAAAAAATGAAATTATTATGGCTATAGCTTTGCCTAAAATGAGTAGTACTAGGTACTTTTCCAGTTTTTGGAGGCACTGGAGAGGATGTTTGTATGTCTTTAAGATGTTTTTTTATGTTGTTGTTATATATGGACCAATCTGAGTCTGAAATTAAGTTTGAATTGAACTGAATTGAATTGAAAACGTACATACAGATGGACAGACAACCTGAAAACACAATGCCTCCGGCCACAGCTATTGCCGGTGCGAAGGCATTAAAAAAAACAAAGTTTATGAATTTGAACACTAAATATCTTCTCTCTGCACTGTATTCAACTAAATATAGGTCAAACGATTTGCAAATCATTGCATTCTATTTTTAATTACGGTTTACAGTGTTCCGAATTTTTGGAATCAGGGTTGTAGTATTTTTGCATACATTTTCCAAGTGTACAGCTGACCAGAACAAAGTGACATCATATAATCAATATTTTACAATTTCTGAATTTTTCATACAAAATTATTCCGGGATGCATTCTCAGTGGGTTCTTTTGATCCTAATGGTAACTATGGGTTCTTACCCGTGCTCTGTGCGGCTTTAACCAGCCCGTTTCTCAGGACATCCCTCACCCATGTTTTGATCTTCTCATGGCCTTCACCCCCCACCACCGACACCACTAAGTTGGGTGAAGGCAGGCCCCAGTGAGCTGTCATCAGGGTGTAGACGATCTGAGGCGATGTGTCACATGACAGGCGCAGAAACTAGATAACCAGAAAAAGGAATGCATTTATCAAATAATTTCCAAATATTCAGACAAAGATGCAGTTCACCAAAAAACCTTAACATTATTCATGCTGTTTAGCTAATGTATATGGGAGCTAATCCTAGAGGTCCACTATGGGCAACATTCCATCTAAAAAATGCTTTCTTGTGTCTCAGAAAATTAGACTACCAACGTGTCCACATGAGGTATTAGCTGCAGTTTTCAGTTGTTCCTTCATCACACAGAATAAAACACTTCACTTTTTTTGTACAACAGCAACATAACACATAAGTTGTACACCTCAGTGGGTCCCAAAGTATCTTTTAAAGAGTTACCTAAATTATACCACAAAGAAAAGTAATGTTTCACTGCCCTCTCTGGTTAAAATAATCAAGTCTGTTTCTACGTAAAGTAACTACAATTAGTTTTAATTGGTTAGAAAACAGTCTAAGTTTAATACTTATGCTCTATATGACCTACAAGACCATCAGCAAGGAGCTAGGCTATTTCTATATAGTTATTCTTGATGCCTGTCCCTGGGTCTTCCCTGCAAGGTCAGAAGAAATGATTTACAGCACAAAATTCAGAAGAGCCTGTTTACATTTTCCCAGGCAAAATTTGACAGTGAGTAGTGCGTTAGCAAGTTGGAAGGAAGCAGAAGCATAACGGTCGAAAAACATGAGTCAGCTGTGTAACTATTTCAACAAATGGAGATACTTGTGGAATTTGAAAGGATTTAAAACTGATCCCAAATTGTTCCTCTTCTTCCTTGACAGGTAGGCTATGTAATATTTTATTTATGAAATACATTGCAAGATGTGGCTTTACATCAATATATGAATTAAGGTTAGTGGCTAAAACAAAGCTAGCTAACCCTTTGGGTAACATTATCTGAATGTACCTAATGTTGTCCAACATTTGTTGAGCAAAGCAAGCACCTCAAAGCTTTCTGTGATTATGAGCATGATGACCAACGTACTCCAGGCAATCACTATCGTCATATTACAGTTATTAATCTTACATAGCCGCATATAGATACATAACCTCATCGCTCTGCATCCTGTAAACAACTTTAAAAAAGAAAAATGGAATGAGTTTTTTTTTTCTTGTTCCACAACAAATGCACACACTTGCCAGATCAAAATCTTTACGCCACGAGGTGGTGGTGGTGCTCATGGGAAATGCAGTCTTCATTCCACAAACACTACTGTTTTTGTCTACAGGGTCTGCCAAAATCTACACAAAATCAAAGTTCCTTGTAGTTGCTTTAAAGGGAAATTTCGGTTTATTTCAACCCGTCTCCTATCGTCCTATATTTGTTTCAAGTGACTAGTGACATGGAAATAATAGTTAGCATGTTAGCCGTTAGCCTAGATACTGCCGGGGCGCATTAGTAGCGTCAGACCTGTTAAAACGTAAGTGAACGGGCATACCTTCTGGTGCAAAGTTAGTCCACTAAACAAGCTTTTTTCCACAAAGACCACCTCATATCGTTAGGATAAATGTCAGAGAACATATAGAAAACAACATGTAAATGTGTTGTCTTACCTTACCGGTGTGGTGCCGTGTTTGTTTATCCCTCTAGCTCTGCTTTTCAAAGCGCGGCCGAAATATATCTCGCCAGCCCTAGATAAAGCCCAGCTGGATACTAACGTTACTCCAGGTGGAGATGTCTCGTCCTCGGTCACATCCAGACCTTGAAAATAAGGCTGCAACCGGTCCCATTCCTTGCAACAGAGGCATTCCTCACAGGTACACCACCAATCTCCAGAGCTACACAGCCTTGAAGCAGCCATTCGTCCTCTACCTGTTGCGCCTCTCTCTCTCTCTCTCTCTCTCCTCCTCCGTTCTTCAATTTCACGAAGCTCTTCGTCAGTGTATCCTTCCAGCTGTTGCTGCTTGTTCAGGCACGCTATGAGATCGCTGCTTGTTCTCGCGATATTTCGGCCGCCCTTTGGAAAGCAGAGCTAGATGATAAACAAACATGGCAGCACACCGGTAAGGTAAGACAAACCGTTTACATGTCATTTTCTATATGTTCTCTGACATTTATCCTAACGATATGAGGCGGTCTTTGTGGAAAAAAAGCTTGTTTAGTGGACTAACTTTGCACTTGAAGGTATGCCCGTTCACTTACGTTTTAACAGGTCTGACGCTACTAATGCTCCCCGGCTGTATCTAGGCTAACGGCTAACATGCTTTTATTATTATTTATTATTTATTATTTTTATGTCACTAGACACTTGAAACACATTTAGGACGATAGGAGACAGGTTGAAATAAACTGAAATTTGTGGTCAGAGGTATGCACTGTTGCACCAGTAACCACACCTAACAGTGATGTCACAGCCTGCTGACCACACGCTGCAGTACACTTATCCATCACGGCAGCAGGACAAGAAGTCAAACCCCTGGACGCAAAAAAACTATATTCAGATGTTATACTGCTTGTTTATCTGTTGCACCTTGACACTGTAAATGATGTTATTGAACTCTTAAAAAAGTACAGGCCTTTCTGAGCATCTTAACACTAGGTCTCATTCACCAATATCTTCCTAAAATTGTTCTTAAGAAAGGCCCTAATAATTGCATAGTTGTTCACACCTATGTTCCTGGAATGAATCCCATTGTCCTCATGAGTTGAAAGTACTTGTTGATTGACACCATACTTAAAAAAAACTTCAACAATTCTGAGGTGGAGGAACATCTTCAGGGAGTGAATGCCAAACACACTGTCATATTTAGTTGGGTCAGGATTGGATGTATAATAACAGAAAAAAAGATGCATGGGATGCTAAAAATATATGTTAATCCATCATGCCACCCGTCCTGCAACCGTTAACTTTATTCATTACATTAGCTGAGGATAGAGACAAGCAAGTGTGTGTGTGTGTGTGTGTGTGTGTGTGTGTGTGTGTGTGCGTGTGTGCGTGCGTGCGTGCGTGCCACTTACATGACTGTGTCTGCGTCCAGCACCAGCAAACTCCAGCTCTCCAAAGGCATCAGTGGGCGACTCTGAAGAGTGCTGCCTGCTGTCCCACTGAGTGACAATGGCAGCTCCAAAGAAGTCCGCTGTTGCCACAGAGTCATGCACGTGCCGCACACCACCACACTGGCACAATGCTCCATTACTGACACACAACAACAAACAAACCCACACAAACGTTACTTTTTGGTTGATAGTACCTCAAATGCCCTCAGTCAATTCAAAATGCATTTGTGGTAATGAAACAGTTACTTAGTGGTTCATAGCTGGTACAAAGCTAATCTCTCTCTCTACGCTGAATCTAAACAAGGAAGGCTGTTCCAGAGTTTGGGTGACCCTGACAGCAAATCCACAAGCCACTCTTTCAGTTTTAAGACTAAATCAGAAAACTGCAGCAGAGTTTTGGTGGAAGATCTGAGATTGGGTACTCATGGGTCCAAAAGCTGTATCCATACTGTATTAAGTGCTTTTAAAGTAATGAGTGCAAGCTTAACTCAATTCTAAACTCAAATGGAAGCCAATGAAAAAAGGCTAAAATCGGTGTTATGGGATCTCGAAGGCATGAGCAGCATTTGCCACTCAGGCAGGTATGGAAAGCTACTACAACCCAGATTCCCAAAAACAATTGGAACACTGTGTAAGATGTAAACAAAAACAGAATGTAGTGACTTGCAAATCATTTTGACCTACAGTATACTGAACTGAATACAGTACAAAGATAAGATATTTATAGTTTGAGAACTGAACTTGAACTTCTCCTCTTAAACCTGGAGACACAAAATCTATTATTTCCAAAAACAATCTAAAATGTGGACTCATCAGACCACAGCACAGTTTTCCACTTTGTGTCAGTCCTTCTCAGATGAGCTCAGGCCCAGAGAAGCCGGCACTGTTACTGGATGTTGTTGATATAAGGCTTTCACTTTATTATCTGTTAATACAGCGATGAACTGTGTTTCCTGACCATGATTTTGTTTGTTCCTAAACCCATGTAGTAACCCATGCCCATATACAGTCATGTCAGTTTTTAATGCAGTGCAGCCTGAGGAGTCAAAGGTCATGGGCAGTTAATGGTGGTTTTCAGCCTTGCCCCTTATATGCAGACTTCTATGGATTCTCTGAATCTTTTGATGATGTTATGGATTGTAGATTGTGAAATCCATAAATTATTAGCAATAATAGTTTATCAGTTTGAACATTAAATATCTTGTCTTTGTAGTGTATTCAGTTAAATATTGTTTGAAATGAATTTGCAAATCATTGCATTCTGTTTTACACAACATCCCAACTTTTTTGGGGTATAAGGGCTGTATAATCAATATTGGAGGGGAGGAAATCATAAACAACTCTCTCCTAGTCAGATAATGGTAAAAAAATATATATATATATATTAGATTGTTGAAACAACCATTGCTAACGCACAAAAAAGGGCTCCAAATGTGCATACACCTTTAAATCTGACCACTTTTTTAAATGCCAGGCACTGTCCTATTTGATGAACTTATTGCATTCACTGCAGCAGCAACATGTTTTTCCACTTGTTGCATTATCTGTTATTTTTTTACCCCACTACAATATGTGCTCCCTAAC